ATTAATTATAATTCAAAAAAATTTTAAATAAAACAAAGGCTAAAGAATAAACGAGAAGTAAAGATGGAATAAATGTAACGTAATTTAGAATATGGAAATCATGATAAAAGATGAAATAAGTTTCAATTTTTACTTAATCTCCTTCAGCTAAACTTACGAAATTAAACGCAGACGGGTTCTAAATCTCGTGTTATAATAAAATTTTATTTGTTCCATTTTTATCTTTCGTAAACATCTTTAATATTTTACTTTAAGTTTCCTTGTTAATAGTCGCATAAATTTTATTTAATTAATTTTGTCACAATTACGATTAGTGTTTTAATTACATTACATATATTGTTACTGTAAGTGTAAGTGAGAAATGTATCTTTAGAAGTGATTTTGCTTGCAACATGTAATTGCGATATATACCAACCATCAGGAATTCATCAGTTTTATCGTAGTCGTGCTTTTTTCCACATGCTGCATGTGTTCGCCGTTTTCGCTAAATTTTTGATCGACCGTTCCCATCTTTTTGCTGAGCGCGATCGTGCGATTCGTTGCGGTTTCGGTTTCAGAGAGAGGAGCAGCGAAAGTACGTGAATTTTTACCCTCCGCTTTTCTAATCGTCAATCAAACATGATAAAGGTAGCGTCTCAAAGCGCGTCTCCCGATATCGATTTATCCACCGACGATTGAATCTCATATCTTCTCACCGAAAAGGACTTCTCGCATTCGCGCTCAGACGCCTCCAGAAGCGCGCGGCGTATGCTACACGCAAGTTGTAACAAACGATCCATATTTCATCGAGTGCTGAAAGGACCATTTTCCCGCGAGGTCGCTCGCTCTCCCTCCCTCCCCCTCCCATCGTCCCTAACCCTTGGTCGAGCGCGCACCCTCGTGCGACCGGTTTCCGCTTTTCTCTTTCACCCGTCTCGCAATTTTCCGTCCGTCGAATACGCCAGGCGTTGGATGTGGATCAGCGATGGGATACATCCATGTAGAAATAAAAAATGTATGCCAATGTATGCCAACGCGCGGAGTGCGAAGCCGAAACCGTTGTCGATCAATCGTCCGCGAGAACTCGACTCCCTCCTCGCAATCAATCGCGGAAGACTCGGTGTAGTGCACAGATTCAGATTCCATCGAAATCTGTCACATTAGAAGCGCGAGTGATTCAAAGAATACACGCAAAATCGCGTTCGAAATGTAACGTATACGTCAGTTATCGAAGCACTCATATCAATTTTAAATCGATGTCGCGAATGCTCGCTTGCGTTTGAAAAGTCGCACGCGGACTAATTCAGATTTCAGCACCTATTCATATTCCATACTGATAAGATTATAAAATATATATCGATAAATTCTTCATTTTTTTCCGAGGGATCGTAAGAATTGCAAAGTCCTCGAGCAAAATACAATTACGTTATAATTAACTACGAAAATATCGTATTCAACAAAAACGTAATTCGATATGTTAGAGATGATAATAGGTTCGCTTTTTAAATTTCTATCAGACTATCACGTTACATTTTATCGGAGAATTTATATCAATCATTCTAATTTTGGATAGCAGGTCGAGCGTATGTCATATCCGGCGGAGCGCAGGCTGCTCTGTCGGCCGTCGTAGAAAGTATGCTCGAGGAGTGTCTACAAGACGCCGAGAACTTAGCTACGGTGGCTGGTAAAAGCTGCATCACCCCCGAAGAAATGGAGAAGGCATTAAGGAAGCTCTGCCTACGTTTAAACGCGCAGTCGAGCACGCCGAGCAAACAGAAAGTTAACACGCAGCGCGAAGACGTTTGAACCGAGAGTTTGGCGAAATCTTCCCGGGGAGAGAACGTCTTCGCGACGCCAACCAATTCAAATGCCGAGAGAGCTCCCGTGATATTGTCTACATCGCTAATAAATGTCGAATTGTGTACGAAAGTGCGAATTGTGTCACGAACAGTGTCTCCGCTTATTATTAACTCCTTCATAGTGTTCATCGTATCGTTTATTCACATTTACGATTCTACGCTTGAGAAAATCAGGAAAATAAAATTACTTTATTTCTTTCGAGAAAATAAATTTCAAATTCCATTATGGAACATGTAAAAAATAATGGAATAATAGCTAATTGCATTCCCGTATAAATGTAAGACTAAGAACGAAAATGCGGAGTAGTAAACTGAAAAAAGTGACAATTCTCCTCGCATAATAAAAAAAAATATAATCTTTTTGATGTGTCATCCACGTAACATGGTTTCGAGGCTATATCTTGAACATGATATTTTACGTCAGAGAAATTGTCGAGTTATCGGAAGACTGATTCTCCTGTAACGTGTGTCGCGATTTGGTTTGATGCGTAACACAATCGTATATCTATCAACAACAATTATTTGTTTCGCCTTTGACTTTGATTGAAATTCCTCTCATTTAATGTGACAAATCGCGTCATGAGGACCCTTCGTGTTTATCACGCTAGAGAGCGGCCATCGTGACAATGGTCAAGCAGGTTGTTGCAAATTTCCTGGCAAAGCGCTTCTCGCGTGACTGGAAAATTCATTAAGCGACGCGCGATAAACCAAAAATAATTCCAAAAATAATTCCAAAAATAATTCCCGACATCGTCGAGTATTAATGAACGGGATAACATTTTTTTTTTTCATGGATGCGTATGTTTTTCACGTTTCATCGATCTCGCAGCCGTCTCGTCAACAATTATTGACGTCTGCTCGATGTAATGAAATATATCTCCATTTTCGAGGATCAAAGTCGACTTCATTGTAGGTGAGCATTGCACAAATTTAAAAAACAAAGGATATATAATGTTGTATTACACAATATTTGCATTAACTTGCTGCTTTACGAATAGGATTTATAGCACACGTGCTCTTAATTCAGCGTCACATAATTTTCACTTACATAACAATCAACAAGCTTAAAAGAGATGTAAATTTAATAATTTTTCTTTCTTACATAATTTGCGATATAAATGATTCATCGTTTATTTTCCAATGTCTGAGACTGTCGTATCTTCATCGATATCTGTCGTTACATCGAGCATTCCTCTCTCATTATATAAATCAACAGCACGAAACCGGCCACGATTTGTCGTGGACGTATGACACGGATATTATTGCGACGTGAACCAAAAGCGGAACATGGCGCGCAGACTCGACTGGCATGCCATCAAAGTTTTCCGTGTAGCCTGACGTCAAATAAAAGTCATTTGAAAGAACGTCTCCGGAAAGAAACGCTCTTTGAAATTATATCTCACTAATGACGTTGCGCGCGCGATCTCTCCCGACGACAGTATTCTTAGATTGAAGATCTCCTCCCGGTTGGATTCAGCTTCAAGTTGGCTCCGAGATGCGTTTTGCGTTTTTTTTTTTCACGTCACTCTCCGACGGAGCCAAGAGTGCGACTCTTTCCACATGTCGTGCAAAGGGCCGAGGGAAAACAGCGGCGCGCGGCGCAGCGGAATATCTCCGTCCGGCAGACGCGCGGGGCTCAATATTTTACGGGCGGATCCACGCGAAATAATTGGGACGCGTTAACAATGGACCCGGTCCGTCCTTCCTACTTTTTTTTTGTTCGTTTGTCTTGTTTTTGTTTCCTCCCCGCTCGTGTGTTTTTTCCCCTCCCCTTTTTTTCCATTTCGACGCGTCGCGATCGAAAAGTTAATAGATACGTGAAATGGTGCGCGATATTCGTTACCGTGCCGCGCCGATTTTATTTGTAACTCGAAAATTCGCTGTTTCATAAAACGAGATTTGCAGATACGTACGTACCTGAAGCCGCGCGCTCCGGCCGGAAAATATTTTCCGT